AAAAAAAAAACCTAAGACCACTCACATAATCAACCAAAAAAAAACACGAACCCTCAACCCGGCAATCAGGCACACTAGAAACAGACAACTACGACAAAACCAAACAACTTGAGGGTCAATGGTTCCCGGACAACTAGGTGAATTCCCATGTTTCAGTGTACGTTGACTAGGTCCTCCAGCAGAAGGCACCAACTTTTTCTGTAGTCTATTTTAGTAGGGGAACCCTCCCAACCAAAAAAGTTGATGAGAAAGGGCACCACTGGGGGACCTAGTTGCTGAATTCTCGTGTTGCCAAAAAATACCATGATCCCTTGGTGAGTTCCCATCTTTTGTGCCCTCGTTCCCAAACTTCTGTTTGCATGTTGGCATGTGGCACAAAAAACCACCGCCCACCCGGTTTCGCCGGACGGTTTTTGAAAGCGGAGGGGCGATGCCCGTGGCGGCGCCGGCCACGGCCCCCGCCACGGCGCCCGCCACGGCGATGGGCCGATCCGGGTCCGGCATGGCCTGGCGGCTAGGTCCGACCCAATGAGTCGGTTGGGTCAAAACCCTACCCCCCCCCGAGCTTCCCCTTCAAAATGAACCAAACAAAAGGGGTTACCAAAAAACGGGGTATCTGGGTTTTGATCCACACCCAAATCAGTCACTTTGGAATTGACTGAATGGTTGTATTCTTTTCCTGCTTGGTTGCTTCTCTTGGCGCTTTCTCTGGTTGGCCGGGTATTCATTTTCTGGTTTCAGCTTCCTTCGGTTCGGTGGACCGGAGTGACTTTCCCCAAAGGTTGAACAAGGTACTGGGATGTACTGGGGGTTTAATCCCAAAACCACCAATCCAAACCAATTTGGGGGTACCTGAAAAAGGGGAAAGCAGTTCAAATAAAGAGGACAGGCGTTGGTAGAAAAAGATTGTGCGAGCATTGATTTATGGGAGTATACATAAAGATATGCATACGTGCCATATGCCTGACTCGCATGGCTGGATGATGGCTCTATCACGACTAGATTATGAAATCATCACAACAGGATGTCTTGGCGGTATGCATCAAAACTACTTTCGGATTGTCTGCTCCATTGGCCTGTTCATTTCAAAACAAAACAAAAACAAAAACAACATGTCCTCCACATGGTTCACGCGTTAGGCAGAATAGGGATCATCAAAGCAGCCTACACTCACAGAGTCGCTTGTATTGTGATGCTCAAAGTATAATCCTGGTGAGCCTCTCGTTTTCCCTCCGAAAGCATGGAGTGGGTGGGTCGGAAGCTGTGACGTGCCCGCTGTCATAAGCGCTTGGACAAACTCCTGCTCCTTGGCCAAAATGTTGGGGTACTCCAACAACCGGATGTCCAGGTTCTGTTTCATATATATTTTGCGTATTTCGTCTACCCAGAAATGCAGAAATACAGAACAGCTTTGGAGACCGGATCCCTTCCCACAGGATCGACTAACGACTTGGAGCCTTTGCTTGGTGCCCTTGGCAAAGGCGCGCTAGCGGCGCGAGGGCCACTTCGAGCGGTAAAGCTGCGGAGACGCAGGTCCGAAGGCCAGATGCAAACGCGGAGCTCGTTCCCAGCTCTCCAAGAGGTATTACATACGGGTCCATACACTCTTACAGTAAAGTGGTCTTACAGACCCTAGTTTAATCAGCTGTGAGATTTGTCTCAAAGCTCACACTAATTGGATGAACCGCCCGAACATGACATGATTCCCCACTAAATAAACCGGGCACCGCCCCTGAATTTGTATGGTCCTATCCGAGGCGCCACAAAAGGAATGATCTGTGAACCTTTGCCCACATCTGTGCGGAAATAAGTTGTTTTTTGACTCTGTTCCATGTTTGGTCTGCCTTATCAGTTGTTGTTTTACAAGTCTACCTGATCTCTTTTTGTTATATTTTACAAAACAGGCATTTTAGGAGACCCCAGGAACGAGAGTTCCCTTCCCCACCCCCGCAACAAAGGCCATAGTGCAGGCTGTCGTCCAAGCGGCTTCACGTGTGCAGGCCTGAAGTATCCACCTAAGAAAGGGATACCCCAACTGATATGTTCCAGATATAATATATATATATATGCTCACCCCCCCCTGCATGACCTACCTTTTAGCTAAAAAAAGCAGGATCTCATCTATGATTTGCCCCTCCCTTCATCGCTATTGGTGGGGCACAGCACTTGGTTTTCATTGCACACGCGAGCAAAACACAAAACTAATTATCTTCAATGCTTATTGATTGAAGCAATGGAACACCTGTTCCATTATGTTATTCACCGCCACTCATAACATAATGATGTTCCATTTAATATTAATGACAAGTTTTTGTTTAAATATAATTTTCTATATTTCTTTAATATCAACTATGACAGATGTCCCAATAATAAAACCAATAAACATAACTGAATATGAATTCAAACAATCCAAATATGAGCACGTGCTAAAATTACCATTTAGAAGTGTTATAGTTGCTTCATCGACGGGACGCAAAACAGTTTTAGTCCAAAACCTTATCTTGAATGTTTATAGAAATTCATTTGCAAGAATATTTATATTTTCCCCCAGCGTTCATAATGACCCAACTTTTACAGAAGTTAAAAAATACATCAGGGATTAATTGCACGTGGATGATGAAAAAGAACACATTTTTTTTGATAATTATAATCCAAGTGATTTAGAAAATGTAATTGAAAGACAGAAGAAAATAATTAATTATATGAAGTCTAAAGATAAAGAAACTACATTCAATATTAATCGTTATAGATGACCACGCATTCAATATTCATCGTTGTAGATGACCACGCAAACGATCCTAAATTTGTTAGATATAGTAAATTATTACACGGACTTTTTACAAGAGGCAGGCACGATGCAGTAAGTGTAATTTGTTCAACACAAAATATAATGTTTTAGTGCCTATCATTCGTTTAAATGCCAGTTCATTAGGTTGAAAAATGCAAGTGAGTTAATGAGTTTTATTGAAGAAAATAGCGCCATTGCTGATAAACAGCAATTATTAGATATGTATCATCAAGCCGTTAATGACGCACCTTATAGTTTCTTCTACGTGAATATGAATGCTAAAGACATTAACAAAATGTTTCATATCAGATTTGAACAGGCATTTCAAATTACGAATGATGAATAAAGATATTCTAATTTAATATAATATAGTAATATGCCAATGAAACTATGTAGATGTGGTGGATTTTATCGTAGAGGTAATTGTAATGTTCATACTAATTCTTGGATACATAAACTTTATAAAGTATTGAAAAGAAGGGCAACAGACGAGGAATTATTAAGATGTCAAAATAATTTTGTTGATGATTCCCAAGATTTAATAGATGATATAAGTAGTACTACTTCAACAACAATACCAGAGGATAAAATGACAGATTATGATAGCAATCAATAATATTATTATATGTTAATATTATTAATTTAAATTAACGAAGCATTGCAAAATTGTAAGGCAGGAAGTTTATATATTAATTTGTCAGATTTTTCTTTCTCTAGTTTCTCAATTCGTGTCACACATTCTTGAAGAGATTTAATAATTAAAGTGTCTGCTCGTGTTTTTTCATCTATACTTAAATTCTTAATGTCTTCCAAACTATTATTTTCATTATTTTTACTTTTACCAATACCCATTATATATGCTATTATTAAGATTTCAATTTTTCAATATTATCTTTTTGTGGTTCTTCTTCTTCGTCTTCAGTTGGTGCTGGTATTTCTGTTGTGTTAGATGTCTGGCCCACGACAAAATCTTGGATTCTTGGTTTTCTCGAGGTTTTCTTGGTTTTCCTTGTTTTACTTGGGAATTCTTGGTTTTTTGCTGGAAATTAAAAAAAAAACCTAGTAAATCTTGGTTTTTTGCTGGAAATCAAAAAAAACCCTAGTAATTCTTGGTTTTTTGCTGGAAATCCAAGAATTCCCAAGTAAAATCAAGAAACCCAAGAAAACCTCGAGAACACCAAGAATCCAAGAATCCAAGATTTTCATGTAGATGTCTGGCCCACGACAAAATCTTGGATTCTTGGTTTTCTCGAGGTTTTTTTTGTTTTCCTTGTTTTACTTGGGAATTCTTGGTTTTTTGCTGGAAATCCAAAAAAACCCTAGTAAATCTTGGTTTTTTGCTGGAAATCCAAAAAAACCCTAGTAATTCTTGGTTTTTTGCTGGAAATCCAAACAAACCCTAGTAAATCTTGTTGTTTTGCTGGAAATCCAAAAAAACCCTAGTAATTCTTGGTTTTTTGCTGGAAATCCAAACAAACCCTAGTAAATCTTGGTTTTTTGCTGGAAATCCAAAAAAACCCTAGTAATTCTTGGTTTTTTGCTGGAAATCCAAGAATTCCCAAGTAAAACCAAGAAAACCAAGAAAACCTCGAGAAAACCAAGAATCCAAGATTTTGTAGTGGACCAAACATCTACCTGAAAATCTTGGATTCTTGGATTCTTGGTTTTCTCGAGGTTTTCTTGGTTTTATGTGAAAAATGCTAAAAACCCGAGGAATTCTGAAGGTTTTACTGCAAAACCATCAAAAACCCAGGGAATTCTTAGTTTTTGACTTAGGGATCTATCTGAAAAACATATCAGTTTTTACACTTGTTTTTTTGAATGCTGTCCTGTTTTTTCTAAAAAAAACATGGGTTTTTGCACATTTTTTGCTAACACCATCAAAACACACTGGTTTTTATTAATTGTTCAATGGTTGACTGTGTTGTTTTTTAATCGAAAACCATAAAAAAACAGGTTTTTTCACTTTTTTATTGTCTGCTAATGGTCCCCAACGACTTTTTGAAAGACAACGGTAGGTCATGCAGGGGGGGGTGACCATATATATATATGTATATGATATATATGATATATGTATATATAGCCCACAGAAAATGATGAGCTCTCCTTTTCCCTCAAGCCCTAAATAATTGCCAGCTCAAAGACTCGCAAAGAAACCACGTGGCGCGGGCCAAAGCACCGAAGTGTCTGACCGCCCGCTCCGAAGTGGCGCCTCCAACGCCTCGCCCTGGCGGCTGCGGCAGTGCTGCACCTCCCGCCGAGCCGAGGCGATCTCCTGAGAGGCGGAGAGCGACACATCGGGTAGAGCTGTGGCCATATGGCTGTTGTCAAAACCCGATACCCCGAGTGAACATCAAAGTAGGTGGCACACGGGGTTTCATCGGCTCGAAAATGGAGCCAAAGGTTATGACCCATGGCCATATGGAGAGCCTCACCAAGTGGTTACATGGAGGCCATGGTAAAGGTCAAGGAGGTTCTGGGTGTATCTTTTAGTTACATCTTGGGGTAGGACCCTCCGGAACAGGGCAACCAGGGAATCCCCAAAAAAGGTGAGGCGAAGACTCGGCCGTGGTGAGCTACAGGTTGAGGTACAAGTGGTTAACCACCTTCAGCGACCCTATCTGGCGAGCTGTCAAAGGGGCTTCTCCTTTTGCGGCTTTGATTGCTGGAGCCAAACCCACAACTTCCCAGCTTTATTAGGGAACACCTGCATCCTAGAATCTAGAACGAGAAGGCCGTAAAGGAAACTCATAAGACAGCCCTAACTGGGGATCCAATTCAAACTCTCGTTGGCACAGCCGTCCCCTTTCCTTCACCTGACAACCCGTAGACTGGTCCTCCCGGATTTGTGCCTCGATGCGGCGATGCCAATCCACTGACCTCAACTGGGAACGGACATAGGTGCCCCTTTTGTGGAAAAAAGATGGCCCTGGTGGAGAATTGAGCCGCCAGGTAAACCAGGAATCGGCCTCTATTTTTCAAGCAAGCCCACCCAAAAGGAAACCTATGGGAACGGATCTCAGTTTGGGACATAATGTGATGGGAATCTCCCCTCCGTTCCGAGAAAGTTCGGTTGCCAAAGCCACCCCGTGCGAAGCTGCACGCGGAGTCCGTGAAACTTGGGACAAGAAGCCAGCCATTCCAAGCTCGCTTCGATGGCCAGACAGAACGAGGCCGTTGGCTGTGAGGCCATGCCCGTGTTCCAACCGCTTCCTGACAAGTCCTGGAGGCTATCCCAGGCTGACTGTACTCCCTCTGGATGCGTCCGAACAAGCCAGCGCGAGAGCGTTGCCATCGCAGCTCGGACGAAGAGTACGGCCTTTGAAATCCCAGCACCTGGGCTTTGCGAATTTTTGGAATAAGACATGGACCTTTTCAAGGGCGACGACTTCCTTTTGGGTTCCAAACCGGAGGATCACACCACAGCCCCGGGGGGCATTTCAGCTGAGGCCCCGGCTGCTTCTCCGCATCCTGCGAAAAGCTCTCCCGAAGGCTTCGGATCCGCTGCCCCACCTGAGCGATTTTGGATCCGAGAAAGCGCACGCGAGCAAAGCGAAGCTGGTTTGGGCTACCGATTTGTCCATCCCTCGTTTCCTGGAAGGATCCATCCATTCGTTTTGAAGATGGTTGAAGATGGGCTCTACTCCATGGCTGAGGGATTACAGTGAGGCCATAACACTTGATACCCGTGATAGTGAGCAAACTGCTGGCCTCGACCTTTGTTTATCAACAACATCAACTGGCATCCCAATTAATCACAAGGGTGTGCTTTGCAGGTCTGAAGGGCGTTGAAGTAAGCATCCAGTTGTTGGGGTTTCCACCGTGAGACTAAGCCATGTGCCAACTCAACTGACAAGCTTCCCTCGCCTCGCTGGTGCTCGGGTTGCATAATTCTGCCGCCTGAGAAACTGGATGCGCTTTGGGAAAGACTGGCAAAGGGGAAAAGTATGCCCTGAGTGGTTGAGACATCCCACATCTTCGAATTGGATATGCATATGTATATATATATATATTTATCTGGGGGTGCGTGTTTGCTTCTTAGGGTATGTTCTTGTTTGTTGAAGTTGCTCTTGTTGGGGTTTTGTCAAAGGGGAGACAGGAAAACCAAAGCCAATGGCAAAACCGATAGCCATGTTGGAAATTTCTCAGAAGAGAAGCCCAAATGGTCCATAAAAGATTCCCGCCAACCAGTCGAACTGCTTGTTTTGATTTTTGCAGCCAAATGAGGTAGATCTGGCAGCCCGAAGAACACATCACACTGCACAGGAGTCGGACAGGGCTTGTCTCAAAGTGGGAACTGGACGCCACCAAAGTCGGATTAATTCCCTTTGGTTTCAACACGGAGTGGGAACTGGACCCTCAAAAGATACATCCACGAGTGGCTTCCTAACCTAGGTCCTCCAGTAGAAAGGTTAGAATAAGGGTACCCTTTTTCTGTAGTCTATTTTAGTAGTCCCCCCAAAAACGAAACGGTAAAACGGCACTACTGGGGGATTTAATAACTCTATAGAAGGTGCCCTACAGAAGGTGCCCACGGCCCATGGCGGCATTTCGACTCGACCCTCGCCTGCTGGCGAATGATCAGGTTCCGCTCCTGCAAGACATCCTGCTGCTTCTCCTGCAGCGATGCCGAAAGGCAGTCAGAAGTTGTGCCCCTGAAAAATGCGAGCTACTACCGAACAAAAAAAGCAAACAGCCAACAAAAAAAAGAACCCGGAAGAACTTAAAAAGGAAAACAACTGCAACAAGGGCTATTCAAAGCTCTTCCCTGCTAAAACACCTTATGGGATGTGAGTCGAGCTACACAATGGAATAGCGCTTGTTCCGGGCACTGTTTCGTAGACTATGGGACGTTTTGACCGAACTGCGCATAACTCCAAACAAGACACTTTCTTTTAACTCTGTTTGGCTCCCTTTTGGATTTACGTCGGCGGACCCCTTTGCCCCCTATCCTTGGTGGGCATGAATTCCCATTCAATTGACATACATCTGAAAGTAAACAGATCGTGCCAACTATCAAACATATGGAGCCCATGTATCCAGGTAAAATTACACCCATGCGTCCGGATGCTCTTCGCATATTCTTCTATATCCCACTCAACTTTCTGAAAAGCTCCAACATGTGAGGTGCGTCTTTCTTTCTTGCGGGTCCTGTTTGTGGTTGGTTTTAAGGGAAAACCAAAAAGGCAACCGTTGCCATTGTGGGGTGGTCCCCAAAGAAAGCCAAAACCATACCCATCCCCCCCCCTCTCCCCGAAAAGGAAGAAAAAGAAGAAAAAAACAAAAAACAAAAAAACGGGTGGCATGGTGGGCTATTTTGCGGCCAACAACTCTGAAAACCCAATACCCTAAGCTTGCCGGCGTAACTTATGCACCGCGGTAGACTGCGTTAGATAGACCATGTTTAGTGTTTTCTGAGTAAGGGAATGAACCTGTTGGTGCCCTGAAAACCACCAGTTGGATTTTTTCAATCGGGGTCATTCCAATTCTCATTCCCTGCCTATCGCCCCAGGCAAAGAAAGGTCTGGGTGAATGATAATTGTGGTGCCGCTATTCAGAAGCGGTCTTTTCCTCGACACAAAACGGCTTCCATTGTGCATGGTTGATTGCCTATACATCTGCCTATAAACGAAATCCTATGGTTCACACTCCTCCCAGGTACAATCCGTTAGGCTTGCACCTGTGCTAACGGTTCTGCCCCTCAGCTCAAGCCGTCCTCGATGTAGGTCGTCACCCCGGGATCCTGGCGTACCTCCTCCCTCTGACTCCGGCGCATCGTCGGCACCTGTCGAAGGCGTTCCACCTCCGTGTAGCAGCCAAAGTGGGGCAGCTCAGGGAGTAGTGGTACCTGACCCCGTAATCTGTGGTGAGCACCGGCTTCCAGTCCCTCACAATGACTGGGGCCGACCGCTCCTCTTCCGCGTCTTGCAGCCGGAGCTCCTCTTCGAAGCACCATGTGCAGACATACCTTGCCTCGGCTCGACCTCCGGCGCACTCTCTGGTGTGGTGTGCGATCCTGTCCTTCTTGTTGAAGAACAGCTCTTCGTCCTCGATGTCCCACCTTTCGTTGTGCACCGCCTCATCGATCTGGACCAGTTGCCGCTCTTGATCATTTGCTGGCGGTTGGCCCTCACTCCTCCAAGGCGGAGTGGGGTTTCTCCTCGCATACTCTCTCCTCCATGGTGAATTGAAGATCGGCTTCCCTTTTCCTTTTCCAGAGCCGCTTCCACCCTTTCCCTTCTCTAACTGCCTCCTCAAGGCCTCTGGTGCTGCTTTTGGTCTAGCACCCAATGCTTCCGACCCTCCGCCACCTCCGGTAGTAGTGGATCTTCTCCTTGTAGTTGATGCCGATGTTCTCGACGACGATGAAGCCTCTTCTTCCGACTCCTCTTCTTCGTCACCCGCCGGCATCTTGTTGTGTCCACGCATCGCCCTTATAGATGCATATTCCCCTCTGCTTCTCTTCTCGCATGCCTCTTTCACCATCGCCGCCACCTTGATTGCCAGAGCCGTGAAGAGGGCCACCAGGATGCCGAAGCCGACCAGGGCGTCGTACCCTGAGCCTGCAAAAGTAGTAAATTTAGTATGGCAGCGATTTACACTAAAATTTACTATTTACTAATCTCATTTTACTAGGCCAAGTAAAGTAAATTTACTAATTTACTAGTAAATAAATTTAGTACTAAATGTAAATTTCATTACTAGTAAAAAACAGTATTTTTCAGTATTTTTTTCTGGTATATTTCGTGAGCTGCCTCGAACGCATTTTTCCTGAGTCCAAACATTTTTCTTAGCATTGAGTAGTGGGAACATGTTTCTGAACAATGTGTATTACTTGAGACATGGTCTTGCCTCCCTCAAGTTCCCCATGAATCGTTTGATTTACGTGCGCATGTCGCGGCTTCGAAGGCTGTGCGCTTACATCCTGTGATTGCAGTTTTCTTGGCTAGCACACAGCTTGTGGTATCATGAGCCGCTGGATATTTGCGGCCTGGGCGGTTGGGATAGACACCGATAGCCTAGAAGGACAGGAGCCGCCGCCCATGGAGTACTGGGAGGACGTCGATCCTGGGCCAGTGTCAGCGCTTTTGCGGGATCTTACGTTTGCACTGCGAGTTGAGTCGATTTATCATTTTCACGTGATCGCGATGGAGTTCAGAAGCAATTCTGTCGTGGCAGTTTTGGTATTCGATGTGAATATGGAAGAGAAGCAGGTCTTTGCGTTTTTTCGCTGCAACGGGCGATGAGGCTGTGCAATGAGTGAAAAAAAGAAACAAAGGCGCGGGGTCATGTTTGCTTACTTGTGTGACAAGAAACGCTGATTGTTTTGCCGGTCGTGTTATTGCTCGCCGGTCTGCATGGGCAATGGTTATGGGCCCAGTGTCTCGGCTTACTTGTGAACGAGTCTTCAGCCTTTTTGGCCTTTGTGGACGCACAAGTTACTTGGAAGTTGGAAGGATGTCGGACCTCCATTCATGCACTTGCTTTAGATTTACTTCGGCGGGTGAGGGAGGCTGCTAGACGTTGCTTGTTGCCCCGGAGCGCATTTTGCCTGAGCTACGCCGTTACATAGGCTGTGTTGCTGCAATGGCTGCCCTGAGCCTCATCCTTGAAGAGCGAAAACGGCAAAGTGGCCAGGCCCAAAGGGAATCGTTTTCCTCAAAGGTTCGCTTGGTGGCAGACCCTACGACTTCCGTGGCAGTACTTGGAGCACCACAAAAGCGAGGATCTCTGGGCACTCATATGCCCGCCGCCCTCTGGGCCACATTCGTACTCATGGCAGACGTCTCCCCAGCCTCAGTGGCTGGCCAAAACGGCTGGCCTCTTGTACGACCTCTTGGCACTTGCCCCGAATCCGAAGCTTGCCTCGAAGAAAGCGCTGTCGAGCTTGGCTGTGGTTGCCACCTAACAGGCAACCCCAGGCGAGCATGGACAGGCTTGACACAACAGTGAGAATCCCCTTGGCCATGTTGAGGTCCCTGAAGATGAACGAGGAGTTGAGATCGAAGTGCTGGCGACTCTTGGGGAGGGAAGAGCAGGTCATGCTTGAAATCGCGCTCGACAAGCTCCAGCTGCCTCCTGGGTACTGCCCTGAGAGCCAGATCAAAGGCGGGGAGGAGGACAGTGGTCAGGAAATCCAGGCGGCGCCAATGCCTGGTGACCTCGTCATTTTTCAGCCCATGAAAACTTCAAGCTCCTGGTCTTTGAAGACACCGCCTTCGATCTTTGCGAAGATCCTTGCCATGGACGTGGAGAAGCCCAGCAGCCATGACTTGTCGGAGAATGCGTTACTTGCGGACGCCGGCGCCTTTGTTCCCGAGGTGTCAAAGTCAGAGAAGAAGAAAAAGAAACTGACTGAGAAGAAGAAAAGCAAGACACTGAAGGTGGTTAAGAAGGAGAAGACGGAGAGTAGTGCCAAAGACATGGCCAAGAAGAATGCCCGCAAGAAGGCTTCCCCAAAGAAGCCCAGCAAGGAACAGGGTTTGCTGACCTTGGCTGAGATTCCCGAGGACGTGTCCAGCTTCAAATTTGAGTGCCCAACCTATGGAAGTTGCAAGCTCGAGATGTACTCGGAGAAATCCTACATCCGCCAATGGAATCAGTCTGACAAGAAGTGGCGCTTGATCATTGGCAGCTGCGACAAGACCTACCACCGGCAGCTGTGCCGCCGGTTGGTGCCGGAGGTGCAGCGGGGCAAGAACGCCGCTGACTTGAAGATGATTCGGGAGAAGTTCTTGGACGACCTGAAAGATGTTGACTGATGCCTGCTTATGGACCGCTTTATACGGTGTTTGTGCCATTTGGGGCGGGTGGGTCGACGTGCCAGCACGTCTATGCCCCACAGTGGTGTCAAATGCGAACCTTGCGGGTCGAGAAAGTAGCTTCTGTTTTAGACTTCTGTCATGCACGGGCAAGGCATGATGCTCACTCAGCACCTGCAGGGTTAGAGTTCTACTTTGGAACCGTTGACGCTTGTAAGTGCGGCGGCCTTGTCCTTGCGACTCTCGGCGTTTCTTGTGAACTTTGGCGCCCTTGGAGCAGCGCCCTACGTAAGGATTTTACTTGTGAGCTCATGTTGTTCTTAGGAGCACCAGTTCTGCACGACTGCTTTACTTGTGTGTTCTTTGTCGCGAGGTGGTGCTTCATCAACTTTCATTTCTAGAGATTTTACTTGCTCACAAGCATATCTGTCCCAGGCACCCCTCTCGCAGGCATGTCGCAGGAGAATGAGCCGCTGCCGCCAGAGCTGCAAGAGCTGGTGGGCATCTTCCCGGAGGAGGAGCTGCGGGCTCGGATGCGCAAGGCCGATGCGGCTGCGAAGGCAGCCAGGGCAGCCATGGAGAGCACCGCGGCTGGCGCGGCTGGTGCGGCTGATGATGAGGCCGAGCTGCCGACGGTGCGTGATGGGCGCCTCTCTGTCAGGGTGCGGGGCCGAGTGGTTTGCTTCGAGAGCCCTCACCCAACCCCTGCGATGTGGAAGGAGGCGGGGGAGCAGGTGGATGCCATGAATGCTGCCGGGTTGCCGCTCGCCGCGTCGCTGAAGAAGTCGAAGGCGGCTTCCGACGCCACTGTGCAGAGCGGCGGTGCCAGCGGCAGTGGTTCGAGCCGCTAGAGCAC